TCTCAATCCTCCTTTTGTGTTGGCACGAGAAACACTAAGTGCAATATGAATACCATCAAGAAGAGATACAATAGGATCACAATTTGTGAGACAGCTGCTTGGAAATGGTTTCCGCACAGCTTTGCTAGATTCATATTCTCTCTGGTGCTGGGAGGAGTAGCTTCAGTGATCATCTCCGTATTGGTATCTGTCTCTGGCTCAGAGGGACCCAGTCACAGAGAGATGATTTCATCAAGTGATGAAGTCAGCACTGTAGCAGTTCCACGAAGAATTACAAAATATGCGGGACCACTGGCCACAACATAACACTAAACAAGCTTTTAAAGTAATGAATATTGTGCTTCCCAAAGTAAAGAAGTACTGGAGAGTTTCAATTATATTAGCAGTGGCCTTTAGGTTAATAGAATCTTGTTGCAATGATACAAGGAGACCCTCCTTAGTTTCCATGCTAGCAAGTTCTTTGACAATGCCTTTAAGGATGTGTATATATATATATATATATATATTTTTTTTTTCCTGGTATGAGCTCAATAATGTTTGGCATGTGCTTCTGAAATTACAGAATAGAGTCAAGTCAACTGATGACAGTGTAAAAAGGACCAAGTCAACACTAATTTATGATGGGTATGCAGGATTTCTCATCAACTATCAAGTTGAGTAAATGATTTAATTTTTTTCTTTTTGAAAAAATCTTTATTGTTGAAAATATTACATATGTCCCCTTTTTTCCACCATTAACCCCTTTTAGCCTGTCTTGTCCCTCCCCCCAACCCCCCTCCCCACCCCCTCAGGCCTTCTCCACACTATTGTCTGTGTCCATGGGGTATGCATATATGCATATAAGCTCTTTGGCTGATCTCTTCCCACCCACCCGCTCACCCTGCCTTCCCTCTAAATGATTTAATTTTGCAGGTTGTTATAACACTATTCGTTGTAAAGCAAGTAATCTGATTAATGTATTTAGAATTGATGAAATTGGAGGATCCTACAAACTAATTTCAGGATACTTTTCTCTGGATCAGGGAACTGTTGCCACCTGATGAGAGTGGTTATTTCCATAAAAGAAAGACATAGAAAGAACCACTTTTATTATATATACACACAGATTCTTTAGGTAAATATAATTTAAGGAAAATCATTACCCTTTAAACCAGGGGTCCTCAAACTACGGCCCGCGGGTCACATGCAAATGCAAATATTGTATTTGTTCCCGTTTTGTTTTTTTACTTCAAAATAAGATATGTGCAGTGTGCACAGGAATTTGTTCATAGTTTTTTTTTAAACTATAGTCCGGCCCTCCAACGGTCTGAGGGACAGTGAACTGGCCCCCTGTTTAAAAAGTTTGAGGACTCCTGCTTTAAACAGTAGAATCCTTAAGATTCCTCCATTTTTTTTCCTTTCTTGATTTCTCCATTACTTTCTAAAGACTCCTAAATCACATTACTATTTCCTTTCATATACCACAGAATTGCCAAGCTTATAATCAATTGTTACTCTAATTATTTGACTTTTTCTCCATGTTTAAGTTTGTTTGTTTTTCTGGCTTGAAACTTAAAAAGAATCAATTCTATCAGTTCCCTGTACTAAGAAACTTAAGACCTAGCAATAAAAAACAACAACACACTACTTAAATGCTATTTATTAGGAAAGAAATTTGGCACTAAGACATATCCTAATAGAAAAAAATTGTAAAGGATTCAAATGAAAAAAGAAACAACAGGTTTCTTAGCTAGTGTTTTCAGATTATTTTTTTAATATTACAACACAATATTTCCAATTATAATATATTTGACTGGATTTAAAATTATTTCTGATAATATAAACTCATTCTATGTATTTATAATTTAGATACTAACCAGGGTTATGTTTTCCATGGTAATATAAAGTCAAGTTGTTTGATGAAGATGACAGTTCATTAACCTGTTGCGATATAACTCACATGGGAATAACTCACATGAGAACACTTCCAGTACAGAATGTCTTAAAAGTGCTCTTGTACTTATCAGCATAGCTTCATTGCAGCAAATTTCACTAATGTAAAATGAAAACATACAGCTAAATCATGACCAGTTGAAATTCATTTTTTCCCATTATGGCAGTAAACAAAGGATGAGGAAATACTCATTTTTAGTTTGCAATGATAAAATTTCACATCAGGAAGACTGCATGTAAATAAGAAGCAGTTTCTAGGCAGCAGGTTAAAATGCAACTTTAAAACAGTGTTCTAGCAGATTTAAGTAAGTTCAGAAATACCTAATTTGGAAAGCATTTGACTGAAGGTTGTGAAGGGTCAACACACACACACACACACACAAACACACACAAACTAGGACAAATCTTGTCCTCAAGTTCTTACTTGCAAATCCCAGTGAAACAATAGAAAGTTTATGGAAATATCTGAAAGGCACATTTGGCCCAGTTTAAAAGCTCTATTAAATTAGTATTTTAACACATTGTCCTAGTTACGTCTTATCGTTATGGTCCTTTTCACATTGCTTCACCACAGGGTTCAATCATAGCTTACTCAGAAATCACTGAAATGAGGTTAGGCTAACAAGGGTAGCCTTTTGTTTAACTTCAAGCATGTTTTGACTCCCTAACCCCCCCCCCCCGCCCCCCCCAGCCCCAATGCTGAGAAAAAGACTTCTGTGAAGAAGTTCATGGAACCAGGGTATGTGTTTTTGAATGCTCTTTAGGAGGGAAGTACAGACTGATGTAAAAGGTCTAATATTGATACTTATCTTAGGGAAACTCTGTCCCTGACACTACACTGTATAGACAGCCAGCAGTATCTGCTGTCATAAACACTGTTATACATTTGTATAATACTGAGTGTATAAATGCCATTGTAGCTGTTCCCTTGTGGTCCAAGGAGGAAGTCAGGTAGCCTCTGAGTTCCTGTGCACTATATTTACAAAGCCTCTAGGTTGGCTTGGTACAGCCAAAGATACACAACAGATACCTATCAATGCTACTAGATTTGGTTTCTGGAAATGCAGGGGCAAAGAACCACTTCAAGGCATTCGGGAGTTAGTTATCAAATAAACTCGATTTCCTCGAAGAGGTGAACTTCGCTAAGCACCCACCATCAGGTTTCAGACCTAACTTCGAAGGTAGGACCAATGAGGCACATCTGCTAAGAGGAGAGGGAGTCAGGTGAGACCTCTGCTCAAAACAAAAGCCTTATCCTAAAGGAAAATTTGGACCATGGACTCTGAAGCAGATGAATTGAGTTCATATCCCTGCTCTTTCTGTGACCGCTGATACCCTGTTTAACCTCTCTGGGCCTCAGTTACCTCATCTCTGCCAATGGACACAATAACGGGGTTTTGTGATAACTCAGGAGTTCAAATACCGTTAGCACTGTTTTTCTCAGCGTAGCTCTCATACTGTTTTATATTAAGTGCTGCCACTTATATTTGTCTCTTAGCTCAGTTACCCCACCCACACTGAAAGGGAGCGAAATGGGAAAAAGGATGTGTGGAGGAGGCAGGGGGTGCATAAGATAAAAACAAAGAGCTGCTTCAGTTAAAACTCGAGAGGTCTGGCTAGTGTGACTGAGTGGACTGAGCGTGGTCCCATGCACCAAGAGGTCACAGGTTAGATTCCCCATGAGGCACAATGCCCGGGTTTCGGGCTCCATCCCCAGTAGGGAGCGTGCAGGAGGCAGCTGGTCCATGTTTCTCTCTCATTGATGTTTCTATCCCTCTCCCTTCCTCTCTCTTTAAAACCAATACTATATATATATATCTTTGAGATTCCTGGCCCCTGCTTTATCTTAATAACTAACATTATTTCACAAAAAGGAGAGAGAGGCCTTCTCTCGTTGTGCAACACGACCCACCCTCACTGGGCTTCTGTGCTTCCCTAGGCAGTGCTCAGTGGCGTTGAGCCATTCACCGCAGACGAGGCGTTGGGCCCGGGGACCTGGCAATGGGGGTGGGGCGTGGGGCTGGATTAGAGGAATAAAACCAGCTGCCGCACTGCAGCCGCTGTCTCTGGGTCTTGAGCCCTCTTGAGACATTCCCAGGGGGTGCTCTGGAACAGGGTCAAGTGTAGGAAGATCTTAGTACGTTGCCAGAAATGTATCATATTACCAAACACTTCTTGCTTGTCTGTTAAGTACCAGGCATTGCATTGGCAATGGGCGACACAAAGATGAAGGTAATGTACCTGACGTCACGTTCCTGTTTGGTTCATCCCTGGACTCAGGTATGTTTTAGATCTCATGCAAACCTAAAAGGCATCACAGGCTCAGGGGCTGCAAGTCAGAGAGGACCCACGGTTGGGGGCATCAAGGAAAGATAAATGTAGGCAAAGCCTGGCAGGGGGAGATTTCAGGTAAGAGGGTGCCATCCAGTGCAACAAAATGAACTTTTTGTTTTACATCTACATTTGCACCTTTTAACTAAAAATTTCCGAAAATATCGATAGTATAAACAAAATGAAGTCTTGCCTTAAAACGGAACCGATCAACTACATGTATGGCTTAAGCATTGAACTATTAATATCACCATCTCAGAAATGTATTAATATTAATACCGACAAGAAACACATCTCTCTCGCAAGAAGCAGGGCTGCATTCCTTGGTATTTGTGCGTATAAGGAAGTGGGACATGGACAAAATTCCCAGTCAAAGGGCCAAGAGGCTGCGCGCTCGGGCCAACGCTGCACACGGGTCCGTCGGCTCCGCCCCCGCACCACGCCCCATCCCGATCGTGCGGGGTCCTCCAACACTCGCGAGAGCCCTCTCGGTTTCCACGTTTGCCACGTTCCAAAGGATCGGGACAGATTGCAAAGTCGCAGGCGGCTCGCGCTCACAGGCGGCTGCGTGGTGCCAGAACAGCCCCAAGTCTGCAGGGGCGGGGAAGAGCAGCAGCGTTCCACCCCCTTCATGGAAGCTCTTGTGATAGGTCCGATATCCCGTCACTCATCCTCCGCTCCGCCCCTGTGCAGGAGGAGGCGGAGCTAGGCCGGGAAGGGGCGTGGCCGAGCGGGCCGGTGAGCCGCGCTTTAGCCTCTGGAGGGAGTCGGAGGTTCGCCGCTGGAGAGGCCCGGGCGCGCGCACCCCGCACGAGGTCGAAAGCCCTTGTAGGTGCGGCGGGAGGTGCTGAGGCACCAGGGCTGCTACAGGAGCCGCGGCCCGTCCTCGCTGCCGCTCCCCCTGCCAGCAGCGGCCCTCGCGCCCCCAGGTTGCCCTACGCACCGAGGGAGTCCCACACCCCTCGCCTGCTCCAGCGGTGCGCGCGATGGCTCCGCGCAAGAATGCCAAGGGCGGCGGCGGCAACAGTAGCAGCAGCACTAGTGGCTCCAGCAGCAGCGGCGGCGGCGGCAGCAGCAGCAGCCCAGGGGCCCGGAGAGGTCAGAGGCGCTCGGGGCTGGGGGCTGGGGCCGGCCCTGGGGGTGCGATCCGGGCGGCGGCGGTGCGGTCCCATCTCTCCGGGACCCACCATGCGTCTCCCCCATATCCGAGTCGCTCCTGGTTGGCGCGAGCGGAGGCCGCGCTTGGTGGGCGGGCTGGAGGGGTCGGGGAAGCAGGGTCCGCGACCTCGGGTGGGTCTTGCCCGGGAGCGCCTGTGGGCTGATCCCTCATATGCAGGGTGCAGCCGACATGGAGGTTATTGATCGACTTCCTTGGCTTTCCTCGGGACTGAGGATGGGAGTAAGAGAAACAATTCGCCTTTGCCTTGCATATTTTGGGGAGTTTGGAAGCGAGCCAAAGTCAGAGAGAGTAAGTGACTGCCAAATCAGCCGCTTTTAAGAGCAACTCAGAGGACGCTCTATTGGGGGTGTGGAGTGTGTTTGGGGGAGTAATTTGAATGTTCTTGGAAATTATTTTAAATATTTTTGCCTTAATGTAGCTTTCTTAACATGCTTTTGAAGGGTTACAGAATATACCATGGAATCCTGGGCGAGCTTCTCAATTATTTCCCATTGTCTTACAAAAAATCGATTGAATATTCACCTTTCTCCCTTCTGTGCTTACCTACCAAAGGGGGGGAACAGATGTTTTAAATCAGTTTCATCTCATATTTCAGTGGTTCTCTGTTTCTTTTATACTTCCTTTGACTCATAGGATATTGAAACTACACTGCACACGTGTATTGAATGTGAGCTGTGAACTTTCTTTTTGGAAACGATCATTTCGAAATGACTTAGACTGTTTCCTGAGGTATACATGTAATATATTCATATTTATTAAGAAAGTAAATCAGATAACCATGTCCCCACTTCAAAGAACTATTTGTGTATAGCGCTTATCACTATCTGAAATTATCTTATTTATTTCCATGTGTATTGTCTTCCTGTCTCAATTGCGTCCTCTTGTTCATGTCTCTTCACAACTCCTACCATGGTCCTGGCCCTTAATAGGTAGGTGCTCAATAAATATTTGATCAGTGAATGAATGGATTTACACGGTGCAGTGAAAGTCATTGCACAAACTTACATTCTGAGAACTAGTATTTGTATTGTCAATGGAAAAAGACAGCTCGAGGTTCAAAGTGATCACATTAATTCACCTTTGACATACGAAGAAGTTTGTGTCCTTTTGTCCCTTGTCCTTAAATGCCAACCAGTGACTTAAACATGCTGAAGAGTGGATGAGCTGGCTCAGGCTACTCTTCTTAAAGTTTCTAAATGAGAAGAGACATTGTGCCACCTAAGAACCAACAGAAAAAGCTGGTGAACAAGACTTAGATGTTAATTGTTTTCAATAGCTGTTTACCAGGGAAGCCCATCTTTGTTCCTTTTTTTTTTTTTTTTTTTTTTATCCTTTTCGATGGTGAGTAAAGAGGGCTGATTGCACCTGAGCAAGTCACGTTATATGACCTGCTATTGGTAAGAATTAGTATTGGGAAATGTGTTATGTTCCCACCCCCACTGAACTGAACCAATGACTGAACCAGTTTTAACAGGTAGGTAATACATTTAGGAAATGTTATGACCTAAATGAATTTATTCTGACTTTCATATTTAGGCATTTTAGGGCAACCTCTGTCCATATTGAAGATTTACAGCCTTTTAAGTATTTTACACATTGATTCCGTAATTGTCATGAAACAAAGTATGTAAAAGCAAATATATTAAAACAAAGTACCAGTATTATGAAAAAACAAAAAAAATCTAGCACACAAACAAAACCCTCAAAGCATTTCAAGAGTTGGTATTGGAGTCTTCCATGTGATATAATGAATATTCTTTTTCTGCAGACATTTTTTTTTTTTCTCTCAGTAAATACTGAGTTCTGACTGTGTGCCAGGTAGAAGGCACTGGAGATGGAAATGAGGGTTCTCTCAGTTGTAAACAGTTACACTGCAGTGTGACAGTGTGATTTTATTTATACTGTTTTCTTCTAGCAGGATTTACCCAAAAGATAGACAACTTCTCTTTTGTTGCTCTGTGTTTTGGGTCATAGAAGTATAGACATTGATGCCCAAACCATTCCCACCTGCTGGGAAAATCACTTTAGCAGTGGCATTACTGAGGCCCGTTCAGTTCCCTCTTCTAAGAGATGAAGAAATTAATGCCCAGAAAGGTTAGTTAGTTCATTAAAGGCGTGTAATTTTTGGAAGCCCAACTAGCTAACGGACATCTAAGACCAGAACTCAGGTTTTTTTGTTATTCATTTATTATACCACTTGCTTGAATTTTAGGTTATATAATTTGTAAGATTTTATGAAAGTCTTGGAATTGAGGTAGATTCTTTTTTTAAGCTTCCTTCGGGAGCTCTCTATGGTACACTATGAATAGTTACTTAGGAAAAGTATGCTTTGTTTCACCAATTAAGTTTCCTGTGACTAAAATTATGTTTGAAACAGTACATTTGAAAAATCTTTGTTTGAGACGTCCAGGGGCTTGAATAGTCAGTTATTTTTTAAGTGTTTTGCATTGAATCTGAAACTGATGATGACATTGGTCACATTCAACATTGTTGTTGCTTAATTTTTGTATAAAAATGTGTGGTGAAAAGGACCCAGTCTTTTGAAACATGTGTTTTAGGGAAAAGGTGATGATCTGGCCTTCTGTTTATCTTGGTGGTCATGTTGAAAAGTTGTGTTTGGAAACTGAAACTCTGGGGATTTATATAACACTTAGATTTTTAAAGCAAGTGCCTTTTTTTCATTTTACTCATTTTAAATTGAAAACTGCTAAAATGTCTAGTTTCCTGTGGAGCTCAATCTTACCTGTTTCAGTTTTGCTGTCTATAATATAAAAGAGACTTAAGTTAATTGGACTTGTATGGCCAGTTTGGGCCAGAGGGAACCTCCTTCAGATTTATTGATTTGAAAATCTTTGGTTAAGAAGAATCATGTCCTTTTGGGCTTAGTATTTTGTAGTACACCAACACTGGTATGTGTGATGTTTTTGTTTGTCTAGCTTTTCCCTTATGAGTATCATTCAGTCTTTCCCTATAGCTTCTAACATGCTATAGGGGTGTAACATCTGTTTATTTTATCTAACAGTATCATGCTATTCCAACGCCCATTACCAGTAGGTGTCACTGTAGGACACAATTTTCTTCAATCTGAAGTTTAAGATTATGTAATACCAATTAGAGTGTGTGTGTGTGTGTGTGTGTGTGTGTGTGTGTGTGTGTTTTAAATTTAATCAGCCCTGTACATACTCAAAACTACCCATGGGTAACTACTTAAAAACTCTTAGCTGCTGCTCTCAAAGTCTTCAACTGCAGATATTGTAATTGAATAGTAAGAGTCTGTCCCTAGCAGCCTTATTTGTTTAGACTTCTCTTACGTAAAATTAAATGCATTCCTACACTGTCTGTAAAATTTATACATTCATAGATTCATTTGATGCATATTAATCATTTAGAAATTGGCTTTCTTTCTACTTTCAGTATCTCTTAGATTGCTTAGCAGCTAACGAATGTGATACACTGCTGATCATATTCTGGCTTCCTTGAGTGAATAGGCCTGCTTGAAATTCCCCTTCTTTTTCCCACTGTCAGGGCCACTTGCTGAAACCTCCGTTAGTCATTCTAGGTTGAGAAGATAGGAAGGCCGTAATTCTTCCACTGCAAGAACTGTGCACTATTTTGTGTTCAGTGGATCAGCATTTTGTCCACCCAGCCAGGTCATATGAAACCAAGTGCTAAAAAATGTCCTGAGGGAATTTTTGAACACATTTTTAAAAGACCAAACAAATTAATCTGTGTTGGGCTTAGGAAATAAAAGGAACGATCTATGTTTTAGTCTTGTTTTAAAATGACGTATCTCTGAGGGATTACTAGAAAATGAAAGGTTTTCCTTTTCCGCTGATTACCAGGAGAGTAACTTTGATTTCAAAAGCATATGTGGGCGATCTTCCTTATTTTTAGTTAGTATGGGAGATTTAACCCCTGAGCTCCATGGTCTCAATAGAATAAATCCTTTTTTCTTTAGAAAGACAATGTAGTTTGGGAGAGAGTGTTGACCTGGATTCATGTTAAGAGCCGTGTGGCGAGTCATTAAAAAATCTCTAATCTCGGTCTCCTCTAACGGAAGAATTATTCTCTCCCTCCCTTTCAAAGTTATGATAGCCCTAATGTCAATTTTATATACCTTCCTATTTCTAGGTGTTTTCATTAAAGTATTTCTAATCTAAGAGTGAGTCCAAAACTGGCCATTCATGGCATGCTTGAAATTTTTTGATTATTGTAAAAAAATCCTATTTTTGTTATATTCTGTAGTACCTGTGTTTTAAGTGGAATGGATGTTCTAGAGGTCGTTTTTTAGACTGTGGCTTTGGGTACCACGTGACACATTTCTGTCCCCCTCTGGGGGTGTATAAGTATCCCATTTACCCACAGCCTTCAAGTTGCTGATTTACCCTCTAATCCAGCGGTTCTCAACCTGTGGGTCGCGACCCCTTTGGCAGTCGAACGACCCTTTCACAGGGGTCGCCTAAGACCATCCTGCATATCAGATATTTACATTACCATTCATAACAGTAGCAACATTACAGTTATGAAGTAGCAACGAAAATAATTTTATGGTTGGGTCACAACATGAGGAACTGTATTTAAAGGGCCAGAAGGTTGAGAACCACTGCATCCCTCTGAGGTCTGTGACATTATTTTATTTTACTAGAGCTCAGACCCAGTTCAAGCTTTTGATGCTCTCCCAGCACACTGTTTTACAATAATGAAAATACGAAACTTATTCGTGTCTTGGATACTTCTGCTTCGCTCTAAGGGGTTTGACTTCATTCTGTACAAGATAACAAATTTTTAAAAACATTAACTTCCCTTCAATAAAACCTGTGTGTACACAGAACCCGTTTACAATATCTCCATATCTCTGGGGAAAGCTCAGCCATCTGTTGGGAGACGTGCGGGTGCTCGGGCTCCCCATATGTCTCAG